CTCAGAGCCTGGAGCCTGCTTCAGATTTTGTGTCTCCTCTCTCTCAAAAATAAATATACATTAAAAAAAATTTTTAATAAAAAAATATATGCCTTTATATATTTTTTAATATGTACATATTTATATATTAAATATACATATATTTATTTTTCGAGAGAGACAGAGGACATGAGTGGGGTAGGGGTAGAGAGAGGAAAGAGAGAATCCCAGGCAGACTCTGTGCTAAGAGCATGGAGCCAGACACGGGGCTCTGACTTACAAACCTCAAGGATCATGACTTCAGCTGAAACCAAGAGTCGGATGCTTAACCAACAGACCACCCAGGTGCCCCAAGGCATACCCTTATAAATGAACGGTCTGAAATTACTCCTGCATTTTCTGGGAGAAAACCTGTCAACCCATACAGAGAATGCAATGAGGGCAGTTGGTGGAGGAGCGCACACCTTTGGAGCCACACAGAGCCATAGTGAGTGGGCTATTGCTCTTATCCAGTTCCCGGAGGCAGGCACTGCCCGCGTGGTCGCGGATCACAGACAGCTCCTTCAGGATCAGAGCCTGGAGGGAAAAAGCGAGGTGCATGAGGACTCTGCTGATTACCAACATTCAACCTGACTTTATTTTATTTTATTATTTTATTTTATTTATTTTTTTTTCAACCTGACATTTAATGAAATCTGACAAAATTTAAGCCAGATGTCAGATTTCCAATAGAGAAAGGATTTCGAGCTTTTGAAGATCAATATGCCTTATCTATAAAGACCCTAACCTTCCATGAGGACGGAAAGGTTCCAAATCAGTGTTTAAGGTAAAAATGATTAGTAACAAAGTCTTGAAAAATCCTTTAAATGGCCCCTAAGGCACAAAGTATATAGCATGTGTATAGCATCCTCTACAATATGTCTGTATACATATCAACTGTACATGCACACGTAGGCCCAAATACACTTAGGAACAGAAGCTACCGTGTAGTATGTAGTAATGGAAAACTGTTTATGCTAATTCTAAAATTTACCTCTTATTTTTACTTTCCAAACACACATGTGAATTCCCACAAGTTAAGCATGTGATGAGGTGACTCTACAGGAATATTCTAGTCCATGAGCTCACCCACAAGGTGTCCTTTCTCAGCTCACAGAGAGGGTGCTAAATCAGTTACGAGTCATGGTTCCACTAAAAACAAATGCTGCTGGAGCCTCAAGTAAATTCCTAGGTAAATGCCAGTGAAGAACATCCATTTCTCTCTCTCTCTCTCAAGACTCAGAGAGATTAATCAAAAAACTGCTAGAACTGATAACATGAATTCAGCAAAGTCGCAGGATATAAAATCAATTTACAGAAATTGGTTGCATTTCTATACACCAATAATGAAGCAGCAGAAAGAGGACTTGCTCTCATTGCAATTGCACCAAAACCCATAAAATACCTAGGGATAAACCTAACCAAAGAAGTGAAAGATCTATACGTTGAAAACTATAGGAAACTTATGAAAGAAATTGAAGAAGACAATTCTGACAATTTTCCTTTTTGGAAAAACATTCCATGCTCATGGATCAGAAGAACAAATATTGTTAAACTGTCAATACTATCCAAAGCAATCCACATGTTCAATGCAGTTCCTATCAAAATAACACCAGCATTCTTCACAGAGCTAGAACAAACAATTCTAAAATTTGTATGGAACCAGAAAAGACCCCGAATAGTAAAAGTAATGTTGAAAAAGAAAACCAAAGCTGGGGGCATCACAATTCTGGACTTCAGACTATATTACAAAGCTGTAATCATATGGTACTGGCACAAAAACAGACACATAGATCAATGGAACAGAACAGACAACCCAGAAGTGGACCCACAAATGTATGGCCAACTAATCTTCGACAAAGCAGGAAAGAATATCCAATGGAATAAAGACAATCTCTTCAACAAATAGTGTTGGGAACACTGGACAGCAACATGCAGAAGAATGAACGCAGACCACTTTCTTACCATACACAAACACAAACTCAAAATGGATGAAAGACCTAAAAATAAGACAAGAAGCCATCAAAATCCTAGAGGAGAAAACAGGCAAAAGACCTCAGCCACAGCAACTTCTTACTTGATAAAGGCAAGGTAAACAAAAGCAAAAATGAACTACCGGGACCTCATCAAGATAAAAATCTTCTGCACAGTGAAGGAAACAATCAGCAAAACTGAAGGAATGGGCAACTGAAGGCAACTGAAGGAATGGGAGAAGATTATTTCCAAATGGCATACCAGATAAAGGGTTAGTATCCAAAATCTATAAAGAACTTATCAAATTCAATACCAAAAAACAAATAATCCAGTGAAGAAATGGGCAAAAGAAATGAATAGACACTTTTCCAAAGAAGACATCCAGATAGCTAATAGACACATGAAAAGAAGCTCAACATCACTCATCATCAAGAAAATACAAATCAAAACCACAATGAGATACCACCTCACACCTATCAGAATGGCTAAAATTAACAACTCGGGAAACAACAGATGTTAGCGAGGATGCAGAGAAAGGGGAACTGCTTTTGCACTGTTGATGGGAATGCAAACTGGTGCAGCCACTCTGGAAAACAGTATGGAGGTTCCTAAAAAATTAAAAATAGAACTACCCACAATCCAGCAAATGCACTACTAAGTATTTATCCAAAGGATACAAAAATGCTGATTCGAAGGGGCACATGCACCCCAATGTTTATTGCAGCACTACTGACAATAGTCAAAGTATGGAAAGCCCAAACGTCCATCGACTGATGACTGGATAAAGATGTGGTGTATATGTATGTGTGTGTATGTACACACACACATACACATACACGATGGAAAATTACTTGGCAATCAAAAAGAATGAAATCTTTGCCATTTGCGACAATGTGGATGGAACTCGAGTGTATTATGCTAAGTGAAATAAGTCAGAAAGATAAAAATTGTATGATGTCACTCATTTGGAATTTAAGAAACAAAACAGATAAACATAGGCGAAGGGAAGCAAAAATAAGATAAGTAGAGCGAGGGAGACAAACTATAAGAGACTTAAATACAGAGAACAAACTGAGGGTTGCTGGTGGGGTATTGGGTGGGGGGATGGGCTAAATGGGTGATGAACATTAAGGAGGGTACTTGTTGGGATGAGCACTGGGTTTTCATGTAAGTGATGAATCACTAAATTCTATGACTGAAATCATTACTACACTATATGCTAGCTAACTGGGATTTAAAAAGTAAAAAAATAAATTAAAAGACTCAGTGAGATTAAGAATGAGCTAATGGTGAATGGTGCCTACAACTCTGCTTTCTTCCTATTTCACAAAAAATTCATGTCATCAGAAAATTTCTTATTGCTTATCCATTTTTCCACACTTAGGTGAGTTAAAGCTCTGAGCCATGGGCTGCAGGGGAGACAGAAGAAAGCCAGGTGAAATCCTGGTGCAGTCAGACTGCCGACCCAGGCTGCCTGAGAGAATGCAGAGCTCCCAGAGGCTGGTCCTCATTCTGATTCTGACCCTTGCTCGGCACGTTCTCAGCTAACCTAGTTTCTAATGTGACAGGGGAAGCAGATAGGCATGTGATATGAATTTTCCCTCTTCTGTGCCCCAGTCTCTTTTGAAGACCATCCATTGAGTTTTATTTTTTTAAAGATTTGATTTTTAAGTAATCTCTATATCCAATATGGGGCTCAAACCTACAACCCTGAGATCAAGAGCTGCACGCTCTACCGACTGAACCAGCTAGGTGCTCCTTCAAAGACCATCCGTTTAAAGAGCTGTGGTTGCCAGTCTCTACTCCACAGATGCTAGAAATAGAAAGGGCACAAGCATGTGAGTACCAGTTACAGAAGGGGCCTAAGTGTGACGCTGGAACAAGAGCAGCCCCATGTGGTCAAGTGAACAGATGGCCCTGTTTTCACCACCTAGAACGTGAAAGCTGCTAGGGATGTAAAGGATCCGATTGAAGGCCCTCCCCTTGTTAAACGAGAACACACACGCCGCACAGGGCTGACCTGGGGCTAAAGGCACGGCCTTTACTTCCCCCTCCCTTCTGCTACCTTCTCTTCAGGCTTGCAGCACAGCCCTGTGGGCATGAAGTGGCTAACCCACCCGAGGAGCAGACTCACCTCTAGAGTCTCCTCAGCGGTGCAACCAGGCTGCTGCTGCAGCTTTCCTGTGTTTAGGGCTTCAATGTATTCATCACATTTTTTATAGCCAGCATTCAGCAACTCATACTTGGCCTTTAGCAACCCTTGACCAGGTGTGACGTCACCAATCCCGATGGAGAATCCACGGTTTGCTGCAGAATAGTCGGCAGGTAGAGCAGAAAGAGAGTGCCATGGATGTTAGTCAACCCACTATATACAAACCAGTTTATACCTTGAGAGAATATATCATGACCCAATTAAATAAAAATGTATCAGTCTGTAGAGAGTTCCATCAAAATGACCAAGACTCACTGAATCCTGTCAGAGACGTTACAACCCAGTGGGGAGCAAGTACTGTCCCCAACTAACTATGATATACAGCAGGCCAATATTAAATACCAAAGAGCAGCTGGACAAAGTCAGCAACGGAAAGCGAGCCATCTGACTTCTTGTTCTAAGACATCATCTCAGATACCTTTCTGCCCACACCCCCTTCCTTCTTCAGAAATCCTCCCCAAACACAGAAAAACCCCACCTTTGAGGGAACTACACGTGGTCAATAATCCCAACGCTAACATATGTAGAAAATGGGTGGATGAGAGGCACCTGGCTTAGCAGGGTGGGGAAGGGACACCTAAGAGTGGCTGTGGAAATGAGGACCCATGAGTCTGGAAATGCTCAGAAACTATACTGCCAGCTTCTGCAGATGCTGGAGACAACGTATGTGTTGGAGATAAGGAAACCTGATGGAAAACCAGTATTTTCCTGTGGAAGATGAGAGTTTATGTCCCAGTATACGGAATTAGAGAGCTCTAGACTGAGGGATCCTAAGTGCAAACAGAGAGGGAGGACTGTAAAGCAGGGCATGAGGTCTGTATATACCATGACTGTGATTCCTTAGTCCCTTTCCCTGGCCACATCCCAGAATCCTGAGAAGCAGGTCTCAACTTTGGGTGGGAGACTGAGAGCGGAAGATATGTCCCTGGAGAAACCAAGCCTCCCTAGAGAAAAGTATTACTGACAGGGCTATTTGGTAGTTCCTCAATGAAAACGTTGCCTTGCAGCTCAATCAAGGGACTGAGAAGTCCATCAACCAACAGGCTCCATCCATTTCCAATCGGTGTTTGGTGTCTCGCTCCCCAAAATATGAATGGATAGCCAGGGACCACCAGATTAAAAAAAAAAACTTAACGTTTATTTGTTTTTGAGAGAGACAGAGAGAGAGACAGACAGACAGACCACAAGTGGGGGAGGAGCAGAGAGAAGGAGACAAAATCTGAAGCAGGCTCCAAGCTCCGAGCTATCAGCACAGAGTCCGACGCAGGGCTCGAACTGACAAAATGTGAGATCATGACCTGAGCCAAAGTCTGACGCTTAACCAACTGAGCCAACCAGGCGCCCCTGGGACCACCAGACCTCTGAGGAAAGTCTTCAACATGAAAGACTAAAGACAACAAATGCACAGAAAAACGAGACTAAAGAGAAAATTCAGGGAGAATTTTCAGATAAATCTATGAAAAACATTGTCTCTATGATAGAGAAGAGGTATCTGGAGATCAAGAACAGGAAGTCTTCAAACAAAAAAACAAACCCAAAAATCAAAATCTACCTGCAAATAAGAAACATGGAAAATATAGTTGGAAGTGAAATAAATGACAGTTAAAATAAAAAAAAAAAATCAATAGAGGAATTCACTTAAATTTTTTTTTAACTTTATTTTTGAGAGCGAGAACATGAATGGGGGAGGGGCAGAGAGCAACTGAGGGGAGGAGAGAAGAATCCCAAGCAGGCTCTGCAATGTCAGCACAGAGCCCAGGGGGAACTCATGAACTGTAAGATCATAACCTGAACCAAAACCAAGAGTTGGATGCATAACCAACTGAGCCACCCAGGTGCCCCGAGGAACTCACTTTTAATTTTTTATTTATGTATTTACTTTTGAGAGAGAAAGAGAGAGAGAGAGGTGTGAGTGGGGGAGGGGCAGAGAGAGAGGGAGACCCAGAATCTGAAGCAGGCTCCAGGATCTGAGCTGTCAGCACAGAGCCCAACGTGGGGCTTGAACTCACGGACCATGAGATCATTACCTGAGCTGAAGTTGGCCCACTCAACTGACTGAGCCACCCAGGCACCCCCTAATTTTTTTTTTAATGTTTTTTATTTATTTTTGAGAGAGAGAAAAACAGAGCACGAGCAGGGGAGGGGCAGAGAGAGAGGGAGACACAGAATCCGAAGCAGGCTCCAGGCTCTGAGCTGTCAGCAGAGCCCAATGTGGGGCTCAAACTCACAAACTATGAGATCATGACCTGAGCCGAAGTTGGTCACTTAATTGACTAAGCCACCCAGGTGCCCCTCTAGGAAATCATTTTTAAAAGTTAAACTGAGAGGCACCTGGCTTGCTCAGTCGGTTAAATGTCCTGACTCTTGCTTTCAGCTCAGGTCATGATCTCATGGTTCATGGGATTGAATCCCCCCTACTGGGCTCTTTGCTGACAGTGTTGGAGCCTGCTTGGGATTCTCTTTCTCCCTCTCTCTGCCTCTTCCCCCACCCAAATAAATAAACATTAAAAAAAAAAAAAAAAAAAAAAAAAAAAAAAAAAAAAAGATAAAGTGAATCCAGAAACAAAGAAATGGACAACAGAAAAGAAGGTAAGAAAAATCATAGAGTCAATCTAGAAGCTCTACTTACAAAATGAACAAAAATTCCAAAAAGAACAGAGAAAGTTAAGGTGAGAAAATTATCAAACAAAAACAAAATTTCCACAACCAAAGGACACACGGAGGCAGATTAAGAGAGCTTACAGAGTGCCCAACACAATGAATGAAAAAAAGACTCATACCAAGCGTCTACAGTGTGAACTTCCAGAACAAAGAGGATTTGCAAAGCTTCCAAAATGAAGACACATACAAAAGTTGAAAATAAGAATAGAAATACACTTTCACAGCAACTCTGTAGAGTACAGCAGTACCTTCAAAATTCTGACGAAAAATAAAATTCAATCCAGAGCTCTATACCCAGCCAAACAATCGATCAAGTGTAAGGGTGGAAATGAAACGTTTTTGGGCACGTAAAAACCTGCACGTATGGCATGCTCAGAGATGGGCCAACAAAGGAAACAGAACAGTGCAAGGAGAGAAGGGAAACACAGAGTAACCCAGCACAGCTGAGCTGTGAGGGCCCAGAGGGCCATAGGTGGAGCGCAGGTACCTTGGAAGCAGCCTGCGGAGGGCCCTTGTCTAACAACCCTGTCTGACTGGCATCTTGGAGCTATTGGGCATTTTGAGACAAGAATTCAAGAGCAAGTTCAAATCTGAAACCAGGCAAGTCAGTACTGAGCTGATCCCATTCTGTAAGTCCCAAATGATTCAGCCTGGAGTAAGTCTCCTTTCCTGTGTGCAGGTATGTGTGTGGCACGTGGGGGCTGGGGGAAGGAAACAAAGGTAAAAGAACAAACTAACGCACAGCCCTGAAACCCGAGCAACCACCACCATACGCCGAGGACGCTGGAGATACTCACAGAGGTAGACAGGAGCCAGCCTGGCAAGCCGTGACATTGCATCGGCAGCTTCGTTCTGCCCCCAGTCTCGCAGCAAAATGTAAAAAATATTGTTCTTCGATCCTGATCCCAACGTTCCCTTGTCCATGCTGCCGCTCATCAACTCACTGTTCTGGATGGTAACGTCTGCAAGGACAGCAAAGATTGGGCACTTGAACAATTACTTACTACTCAGCCTCGTTCCAACGTGGGGCAGTGGAGAAAGCATGCTCCCATTATGAAAATTAAAGCAAAGCAAAGCAAAATTCTCTCAAAATTTTTTGAGGGGAAAAAGAGAGAAATCTAGGGACTTTTGAAAAGCATGAAAAGCCCAGTGGTTTACCTTACAGTCCTAACTCTGAAAAGTACTACAGGACCCTCATTTTCAACTGTGAACTATAAGTGACAGCACCGAGCACTTATCCTGTGTCACAGGGATGTTGTGAGCATCTGATGAAATCACATGCCACAAACTACTCCATAAACTGTAAAGCACTTTGTTATTCCCCCAAGATGATGAAAACTGATGACACCACCATGAAGAGCCTATACAACAAAATGGAATTACATGGAGAAGAAACAAAATACAATCTAAAACAAGGAAGCCAAAACACCTGAAAGACCAGAGGTGTGTTTTCAAAGCAAAGGCTCTAACCCAGAGAAAAATCGGTGCCCTTCAACACATTTACTCTTCATCACAAAACAGGAATCTTGACCTTCAGAGACTCTGTGGTTCAGTTCTTCAGCACAGAGTCCTGGAGATCCATTTCGTGTCACAAGACCTTGCTAGCAAAGCCCATTCAAAGTCAGTGCCGTTCAGAGGAGCCTGCTGGGGAGCTGCCGGTTAGCAGTCTGGGGTGAGCAAGGAGGCTCGCGTCAGAAAGGAAACGCTGGCTGAAAGGCACTGGTCTGTGGACTATACTTTGGGTTGAATTAGTCTGGATGACTCAGATGGTTTAACATTTATATCCTCTTGTGGTTACACCTGATCTTCGTGTTATAAGAAACAAGTTGACCAGGAGGCGATAGAAAAATAGTCCCATTATACTTTTAGACAATGAACACATTTTTTGGACATAAAATGATAAATTATATGCCTCATATGATGAGATACTTTCTTATGGCAAAAAGGGGGGGGGGCAGAATAAAAGAAATTGCATTAATTTACAGACACTAGTCATCTAAAACACATCCAGAGAGGAACACTCTAATCACTGGATCATGTATCTACATGATCTCTACTTTTTAGAGAAATGGGGAATCACAGTTGAGGAGACATACCAACTACACTTCCCTAAAGAATAAACTTCCTGCCTAAGAGAAACATTGCATTTGCTTGCTGAGTGAAGGCAGTCATTGGCCACCTGCTTTCTGCCTGCTCCCACCCCGATGCTTTGACTCACAGGAATCGTTGACACAGAGATCTTCTCCTTTGCCACAGTACTGCTTTCCCTTGGTTCGGAGATTGGCCCTTACTGGATTGTCATCACTAGGTCTGAGGATGACGCTGAATATCTGCTTTCCTGTCCACAGGGTGACAGGCTGAAGGAGGAAGAAAGTCACAATGTCAGCTGGCTGAGCCTGGTCTGCAGAGTACTCACATGCAAACCTGTACCCGGCATGCCTGGCTCCCGCACAAAGCTTTACTGTCTTAAATGTATAGCTATTTGCATAGAGAGAGAAAGAAAATGTATGCGTACACATGGGGAAGGGACAGAGAGAGGGGAGAAAGAATCCCAAGCAGGCTTTGCAGGCTCAGTGCAGAGCCTGAGGCAGGGCTTGATCTCATAAACTATGAGATCATGACCCGAGCAGAAACCAAGAGTAAGATGTTTAACCGACTGAGCCACCCGGGTGCTCCCAGCACAAACCTTTAATATTGTAGGTGGTGGGAGGCGAACTTTAATTTTCTCGTCCTTGCCAACTAATATTGAAGCAATGATTTGGCAGGCCTTGGCTCGGTCAAAGAAAGTGTCCTTAAGAGTGAGGAGATAGGCACCTATGAATGTTGCAAACACCACAAAAAGAAACGGAGTGAATGTGCGAGACAATTACAAGGTTTCAATTTTATTTTTTTTACCTTAAAAAAGTTTATTTATTTTTTTGGGGGGGGGGGGAGGCACAAGCAGGGCAAGGGGCAGAGGGAGACACAATCTGAAGCAGGCTCCAGGCACTGAGCTGTCAGTACAGAACCCGACGTGGGGCTCAAACTCACAAACTGTGAGATCATGACCTGAGCCGAAGTCAGACGCCTAAATGACTGAGCCACCCAGGTGCCCCAAAAGGTTTCGATTTTAAAAGGAATCTGGAATATTGCTAAGGAGTGAGTTAAAACCTATAGCTGCTTGCTGGCTCCCTCTTCCACTAGAATCTAAGCTCCACAAGGGACTTTGACTCACTGTCCTATCTCCAGTGCTTAGAAAACTGTCTAGTGCACGTCAGGAGCTAAACAAATGCTTACTGATTCAATGAATAACCAGCCAATCCAAAATCTCTCAAGCAGATTCAGAATCAAACATAGTAAACAACAGAATTAAACACATGAAATTAAATCGCTTCTCAAGTTGTTACATGAATCACTGTGAATGAGAATCCTAGTGTTCCATAGTCTCCTCTCAAGTGAATTCATAAACACACCTGTTAGAAAGTCCTGAATAGCAGCAATCAGTGGTTCTCCATTCCTTGGTGTTACAAGATTTGCTTTCGTCTAAAGGAAAAACAAACACAACATGTTAGCCATTCTCGGACACTCTTTGGATTGCATGATGCAGTCCAAAGAACTGCACCACAAAGGCTCTGAATTGTCACACACAAATAAAGAAGAGCAGGCGAGCAGAAAAGTGGGGCTGAGAAATGGCATCCAAGGCTCTCAATCCCAGCTGTCACCAGCTCCTTGCTCCTTCATCTGTTAAGAGGTGTCAAAGCATACCTGCAACACTGACGTCAGACGTTCCTGCCAACACTAAATACTGAGTGAAGCTTTGGATCCCTGTAAGAACTCTGTATGTGTAAGTAAGACTTCCTAGTTATTAATAAATTCACTTCTCCAAAGAAAATTCACTTCTATGAATGATAAATAGCACTGTTCTCTTTGAGGTCAATTTCATACCTCTCCACAACGAGGGCACAACTGTTGAACTCTTAATGAAGACAGTACTAATGATAATTAATGACACGATTTAATGAAAATTTAATGAATGCCTACACTGAGCAAAAAGGGGTGCTAGCTGTCCAGTGCATAATTAACAAATTAAAAAAGATTCTGTGCATCAGAGTGCATATGCTCAAGTTTTGCTGTTGTTCTTGGGAAATAAGCAACATGTAAATTTGCTCAAATCATGATGTGGAGATGCTTATGTTATTTGTGGGTTGTCTAGGCCACCTCACCTGGAGTAAAAGGCCCTCCAAGGCAGAGACCTGTTCCTGCTTTATTGTGAACATTCACAGAACAAAGATCCTCCAATGAGGGCTGGAAGGTAATCGTTCATGATTGTTTTCAAGAATCTCTCTGGGATGGGAAATGGAGTGGTCTGGGGCTGAGCACGTGAAGCTGGGATTTGCATATTTTGCAAAAGTCTCCCCAGTAATTTGGGACCACATTCAGGCTAGAGCCCTACCTATTGAGACAGAACTGCTGAGTTGATACAGTTAGATGATAACTTTCTTACATGTAATTGAGGGGATTTGTCCTGATGGTAACAAAGATCTTCCATCCTGGCCTTAGAGCCTGTGTTTTATTGTCATTTTTAACCAATGATATACGCTGTGTAACAAAATGGATCCTCAGTACCGAACTCAAGGCTGAAGTCCAAGTAGTTGGCTACAGGCCATTATCTCTAGCAACTAGCTTACACAGCTGATATCACTAGCAACATTCTAATTATTACTTTTTTGTTACAAAAATAGTATGTTTTTTACAGAAAGTCTAAAAATATAGATAAACGAAAAAAACCAAAACGACAACAACAAAAAAACCCCACCCAGAATCCCAAAAAACATCTCTGCATGGAACTGCCAAACCAAAAGAACTGCTGTTAAAACATTTTGGTACATAACCTTCCCAATTTCTGGCTATAAGCTTTTTTACAAACACGGAAACATCTATTTACCAAATGAAATAAGAGCATGTCTTACACACAGCCTGCTTTTTAAATAAAAAATAAATCATAAGTAGCTTTATGCTGACAACAATACTACATCATCATTTTTAAGGGCCATGCAGGATTTTGTGGTACGAATGTGATGTGATTTAACCTAACCAACTTTTTTATTGGTGGACATTGCCTGCTTCTAATGTTTTTATCATTACAAGTGATTTTGCAACTGGTTATTATTTCCTCTGGAGAGCTTACTAGAGTAAGAGTACAAGGTCAGAAAAAATGACTGCACTGGTCAACGCACCATCTGACTGTGGGAGTGTGGATCTCATTCATGGCCATTCGCCCTCCTCATCCTCTCTCTTGCTATCTCCCAATACAGAGCACAGCACTCCTCACAACTGCTGCAAATACAAGGCTTAGGAGGAAACAGGCTAGCCTCGTTACCTCATGTATGATCACACCACAGGGTCTTTGTACCTGTTGGTCCTCTGCTTGGACTGATCTTTTGCTGACAACCACACTGCTCGTCAACTTCTTTTAGAACTTGCCTTGAGTGTTATCGTTCTAGTGGCCCTCTCAGACCATCCTCCATGAAACAGGACCCCTCTCATTTTCTTTCCTCCTTGTTGTGATTTATTCTTTTCTTCTCAGCACTTGCCACCACATGACCTATTTTATATTGGGTTATTCTCCACCTCTCCCCATTCGAATAAGGATAAAAGCCAGAATTTTGACTTTTTTCTTCTGTGTTGCCCTCCTAGGAGAGTACTTGGTGGCACACAGTAGGTACTCATTAAGCATCAACCGAATTCATTTAAAAAGGCTGAGGGGTCTGAAGAAACAACTCGGAAGAAAGACTCCAAATGCACAAAGATGGCCCTTAAGGGATTTGTCCTCATAGCAAACAGGGAAAACACCCTAAATTTTCAGGAGAAGGTAGGTGAATCATGGTGTGCTAAGCTTGTGAAATACTGTGAAGCCATTATAATCAATAATTATGAAAACTTTACAACAAAGGTGGGCATTTATAACATGTTAAGTAGATAAAAGCAAAACCAAGGCTACTAAAAACCATGACTGCCACCATCTAAGTTCGTGGATAAGCAACAAACAGATAAAAATAGGGGTGCCTGGGTGGCTCAGTCGATTGAGCATCCAAATCTTGATCTTGGCTCAGGTCACGATCTCACGGTTGTGAAATCGGGCCCCGTGTCAGGCTCCACACTGAGGGTTGAGTGTGCTTGGGATTCTCTCTCTCCCTCTCTGTCTGCCACCCCTCCATTCTTTCTCTCTCAAATAAATAAACAACAAAAAAAAGAGATGGAGATAAAGAAAAGAGATGTGATCTGTAAAAACCTCACCTTATTTAAATAACTCCATTACACTGCAATGTTTGAATAAGTAAGAAACTGATGTTCTAAAAAAACTGAAATTACCCGCATGAATTTCTTAGTATTAAGTGTGTGTACAAAAGAAGTAACACATCAGATACTTTACTAGAAAAGATGTCGACTTTAGGCATGAAAAACCGAGGCACAGGCCATGAATGCAGCCACTTGTTCCTGTCCCCACCAAATCCTCATGTACTTTTTAATAGATCTGCTTACAGAACTTAACAGCCTTCACTTTAGAATCGATACTAACATCCTACCCCAAAAGAGATGAAAAGCACTCTATCAGAAATGGTAAGAAGTGTTTTGTGGGTAGAAACACTAACAACCACAGCCAAATCTACTCATAACAAGAAAACCAGAATACTGGGAAAAAGGAAAACCTAGCCTCTAAAAACTCAACAGTTCGGGGCCCTGTTAAATTTAGGAGCGATGAGCCCCGCGCAGCACTGTGCTACAGCTGGGTTCGCAAGCCGGTAGTCCATGTAGCACAGCAACGAGAGCCCAGCCGCACGCTCCTGGAGAGCAGGTGTCTGTGTGACTCATCGCTGAACTTCTCTGCCATCTAAGGGGCTCCCCTTAACTGCTGGAAAATGAAATGGTGGTATGGGTCATCATATAATGATTCTGTTTAGGGTGACCTTTAGACGACAAACAAGTATGTAACATACTATGGGAAAGTCTTCAATAAAGGGTATGGGTACTCAAAAGAAAACCTACTTATGCAGAACATCTGCTGTGCCCTTGACACCCAACAGTCAAGATACTGCTACGCCCGCATCTATCTTTTCCCAGCTGGTTTTCATGTATGTCCTGTACCTTAGAAACGCATATTACAGGCCAGAAGAATACCCACTCCTCTCAGCTCCCCACCTGTCACTGACACTCCCTTACACCCTACAGGGTGTTTTCACACAGGACACACGCTCCCCTCCCCCTCCTTTCTTCTTTTTAATTTTTTTTTTTTTTCAACGTTTATTTATTTTTGGG